TTCCCAGGACGATGTCGGCTGGCTGTTCCACCTCCTTCTACAGCGGCATCCCTAACAATTTGGCTTAATGTGTGAGAACAGTCACAATCCCCACAGTAGGTTTGTTGCTACCCTCTCATGGAAAACAAAATCAATTATCCCCTTTCTTTGAGACAAACGAAGATGACACAACCATGTAATACCTCCTCTCCGTCAGTTTATTGTTCCCATTACAAATTAGCAGTTAACAAATGCGAGCAGTAGACAGCATTCACACCGTGACTCACTACCCGTGCGTATCTCAAGGACGGCATGCCTGACCCACTTTGGGAATTAAGAAAGCATTTCAGACAAGAGATTTTTCCCCTTCAGAAAAAGGAGCGTCCCACAGCTATTCCAGAGCTGTTGGCTGCTGGGATCCAGCAATCGGATGCATCTGATGCGCAATAGGTAGATTCGAAGTTAAAAAAAAAAAGAAAAATCACAAGGATTTCCATGTTTTGCTTTGTTCCCATCCTAGCAGAGAGCCAGATTCAAATCCATGGGACTAGCACTCCATCCCCATCTCCTGAGCTCATCTTCAGGAATTCTTACCACCTAGTGCTGCTTCCGTAGCTCGGTCTGAACAGGTACTCACAGATCGGAACCTCTGCTGCTTCACTTGACATTTAGAGAAGGCCCACGAGAAAGCTCACACTCCTGGAACATGTCAAAATCCCGATAAACACTCACCTTTGTGAGGAAAGCTTTCATCGTATCATGGAGTAAGGAGAATAAAACAAAATAGCATTCACTTGCCGCACACAGAAGGTAGCGGACACCACTGTACGTTTTCCACCACCTCCCACATTATGTTGGTCAGACAACGTCCAGAGAAACGCAGGTGGAAAAGGCTACAAATACCAAGGGTTTTACAGAGATTTGTCTTTTTGGCCCATTTTTATAAAGTCCTTATATCAAAATGTGATTCACCAACCAAAGTGTGGGTGGTAATAAAGGTGGAGCTGCCTTCTTAAAACAGGAGATGCTTACGCCACACATTCGCTGCTTGCTTACTGCATACATTCCTTATAGTCACCAGTGACTGCAAATTTCAGAATTGGTTATTTCACTCTTCAGAGGAAGTCTCTTCTCTAAAACGGACTGTTATCTACAATGTGATTTTTGAACTTTGTTCCCACCATTCTTATGGGAATAAACCCACTCTATTATAAATTCAGAGACTGTGGATTTAATTCCCTGTTAAATGCGTGTAGCCTGGATACGGTGATTAAGAGACATGAGGGACCTGGGGGGAGGGAACAAACAGGAGCGTGGGTTTTTTAGTGTTATGATAACACCAAGGTTGGTCTGGAAACTCCTACTTGTTCTCCTCCGGTGGATATTAATGAGGACTTTCACCTTTGATTCATTCTGAGAAATGCCCCAGAGCAATTTATTCAAAATATGCGACAGGGTTTGCATAATCCCGTAACTCCCCTTAACAGCACAGAAGGCAACATAAGATGGAAAATAACCTTGCAGGTGCAATAAGCAGAGGGTTTATGGTGGGTGTGGGGCCACACTCTTCCATCTATAACGATTCCCGTTTCCTCCAAAGGAAAGGACAGTGGAAACCCCCCTCTTCACGATCAGATACACTTGACGAGTTCACCGGCACAATTCTCTTTGCCTACGCTGCTAACGCACAGGGCCCAGCCCAATTTACATAACTTACACCAGCTCCAGAGCACACCACAGAGCATAAGGTTCACCAGTTCCAGAGGCAACCTATGCAAAAAAGCTCATTTAAAAGATCTGCAGAGAAAGTCTCCAAACCTGAAATCCCTATCAAAGCTACTTACAGAGCCAGAGGAGGGGAATTCTGCTTTCTCCTTCCCCTGCCTTCACCTCCCCCACCTACTAAAGCTCCTTAACTAAATCATTCCAGTCTTTTTTTAAACCTGGATCTCTGTTTGGTGCTAAAGACTGCCCGGGCTTGAATGAGAAACGAAGCACATCCAAGAACGCTGGGGATGTGGAACGGAACGCTCTCATTCTCTGATCTACCCAGGATTAGATCAAGACAATACAATTTATTCCTCATCTGCAGGAACAGGAGTCGTAACACCAGATTACTCTAAAGCACGCTGAGTGAGATGCCGGGAACACACGTAGATAAGAGCATCAGAAAAAACGAGGCTACAAAACACCTCGGCCCAGTTCCAGGAGGAACCATTCCTGCCGAGCGCGCCAGCGGCACAGGCTCCGCGGTGCTCCGGGCACTTTCAGACGGACAGAAGCTTCATTTCCCAGCCGCCAGCACAGAGAGACCCCCAGACCGTCACCGAGCATGAATTTACTAAAGGACGGCTTCAACCGCGGTCACCCCGACTCATCTCGCTCCACTCCCACTCCAAACCCACGGACACGAGCGTCCCGGCGACCTCGGTGGACGCCGGGTCGGGCCCAGCGCCCGGTGAGAACCCGCCCGGGGCAGGCGGGGTAACCTGGACGCCTCGCGAGGCCGGAGCCCGCTGCGCCCCCGGCACCGCGGCGGCCCTCGCGGCGGGAGCGCTG